AGAAGAAGCACCCAGATGCTTCAGTCAACTTCTCAGAGTTTTCTAAGAAGTGCTCAGAGAGGTGGAAGGTAAGAGGGCTTAGAGCATGCTAACAAGGTAATTAAAAGGCAATTTCCAAATGAGGATGAAAATAAAAGCCTAGCTGGCTTTCGTATGACCCTATTACATAGCAAAAGACATTGGCTTTGAGGATAATTTATTTAAATTTTACAACTTAAATTTACAAATAATTCTTTTGTAGACCATGTCTGCTAAAGAGAAAGGAAAATTTGAAGATATGGCAAAGGCGGATAAGGCCCGTTATGAGAGAGAAATGAAAACCTATATTCCTCCTAAAGGGGAGACAAAAAAGAAGTTCAAGGATCCCAATGCACCCAAGAGGCCTCCGTGAGTATCTTGCCTGTTTTTATTTCCTAGACATGTTTTATACAGTAGAATCTGAGAGACATTTAGTAAGCAACTGTGTCAGTTTAGAGTGTAAGTGTACAATCAAAGTTTCTTAGCTAATACTTGTTCATGCAGGTTATATTTAAATAGTATACATAAAATTCCTGTTGGGTGGGAGTGTTCGTCCAAGCATTTGAATTAGACATGGTCCCCTTTACCCAGTGTATCTCCTTTTGATCCTTTTATTTCTTGAAAAATTCTCTCTCTGAAGTAATATAATTGCAGAGTGTTCATCTGGGGCCCTAGCTAGTATAAATTAAATAGTTGTAAGTTAAGCTTTAGTTATGAAGGATATTTAGTGTATTATAGTATTTGCACCCTGTCCAGTGCATCATAGAAATTCACAGGCAGCTTTAAATAGCAGTGCAGTGTACATTTGGTAGTATTTGTTTTTATGGTCTGTTAACTTAAAATCCTAAAATTGAAGTTATTTTTTTTTAGTTCGGCCTTTTTCCTGTTCTGCTCTGAGTATCGCCCAAAAATCAAAGGAGAACATCCTGGCCTGTCCATTGGTGATGTTGCGAAGAAACTGGGAGAGATGTGGAATAACACTGCTGCAGATGACAAGCAGCCTTATGAAAAGAAGGCTGCGAAGCTGAAGGAAAAATACGAAAAGGTGAGTATGGGTTTGCTTGGTAGAATGATGAAGAGTATACCAGATGTTGTATGATTGTACTTAGTTTGAGGTGCAATAAGCTTTTAGTGTAATAGCTACGTTAAGTATGCTGTTGACATAAGTCCTTTCTCACCCTTCAAAGAATACAGAGTACCAAATAAATTGGGTTTACTTCATATAATTAGACTCAGACAAAGGATATACATTTAAGTTGGTTTTACCATTCCCCAGTATCTTGAAGCTTGTGAAAATGTTGGTAGTCACTTCAAGTCAAAAATGATTATTATCACATGGCTTGGCAAACAATGCAAAAATAAGCCAGACAAAGTTAATATAGGCTCTATTTTTCTTAATCATATCCTGAAACACTTACTTTCCTTTCCTTTAGATACTCAAAAAACCACATCACTAAGTTAAATTTCAAGTCTGTTGATGTCCAGTAAATTAATAAGGAAATCTGTAACTCTTACATTAAGTACTTAAAGTTAATTTTTAGCTTCTTTAGTTATTCTGAAGTGTCCATTTCTAGATGTTTCTTAATCTAATTGCATGTTTATTGACAAATTACTTTTTTTTTTTTTTTTTTAAAGACATCTTCCACTAAGGATTAGGGTCTGACAGTGTAAACCTGTAGAATGCTTTTTTGCATTCAGAAGGTGGCAGTGTCTACCCTTTAATCAAAGTCTCCACATTCTACTTTTAATAGAGTTAGGATGTGGTACATAATTGTACCTCAATGAGGCATAACTTTGCAAATATTAGACTGTACCATTTCATGAGTTATAGATTGTTATGATGATCTCATGGTATTTTTATGTGCATTTATTGAAGTTCTGGTTATTTCTGGAGTTGCAGTGGGTCTGCGGATATGTGATATTTTGGTATAACTAAAATCTTGATTTCATTCATACAGTTTTGCCATGTTCTATTTCTTCCCTTAATGTTTTTTTCTTTCCTACTGTTTTCTTCTCTCTTTGCTTTGGAAGGATATTGCTGCATATCGAGCTAAAGGAAAGCCTGATGCAGCCAAAAAGGGAGTTGTCAAGGCTGAAAAAAGCAAGAAAAAGAAGGAGGAGGAGGAAGATGAGGAAGATGAAGAGGATGAGGAGGAAGAGGAAGATGAAGAAGATGAAGATGAAGAAGAAGATGATGATGATGAATAAGTTGGTTCTAGCGCAGTTTTGTTTCTTGTCTA